AGGTTACCTACGTACTGTTTTCGGTGGCAGATTGCACCTACTGATTGGAAGGCTTTGCCATCCAGGTCAAGCCTAAACCTTTCGTCCGCACTTCGGACATCGACACGCCAAGCAGCCATCCGACAGACGTAGAGTGAAGTCAGGCGAAGAACGATCAGGCTTAGAGTTCAGATTTGTTTGCTGTAGGGTCAGCGCTACGCGCTATGTGTTGAGGGTGCTAGGTAGAATCTTGAGGACTTATCCAGGACCCTAAAACTCAGAGTGCATTTCCTACGAACATTCCTTACTGTCTATATGGGTAGTTCCATGGGCACACGGCCCTATACCTTTTTTTGAAGGGTTCTAAAGGGGTACGGGTTTAAGGTTTGGGGTCACTGCTTTCTGGTACAGCGGGTGTCGCGCCGGCCTAAACCCTAAACCCTAAACCCTAAACCCTAAACCCTAAACCCTAAACCCTAAACCCTAAACCCTAAACCCTAAACCCTAAACCCTAAACCCTAAACCCTAAACCCTAAACCCTAAAACCCTAAACCCTAAACCCTAAACCCTAATCCCTAAACCCTAAACCCTAAACCCGACCCAGGCAGTACATGCGCGCCCGGCTCCTTCAGGCTGCTGGCCAGGCTCCATTGCACAGCGCATGAGTTCCCAAAGATCCCAAAAGGCCCTGGACCCCTAGCGCTGAGCGGTTTAGGGTTTAGGGTTTAGGGTTTAGGGTGTAGGGTTTAGGGGCGAGGGATTAGGGGCTAGGGGTTAGGGATTTGGGATTAGGGATTAGGGATTAGGGATTAGGGAGGAGGACTTAGGGAAGATCCAGCTTACAGGGTTTAATTAGGGTTGATGGGGCTGGCTTAGGGTGTATGGTTTCGGGGGGGTACACCTCCTGGAGGCTAACTAGGGTGCAGGGTTTGGGGGTTTCTTGCGCACTTTCCTGTTTGAGCCGCATGTCTCCCAAACTACCAACGACCCCCAAATCCCGAATATAGGGGCCTTAATAATTTGAATAGGGGTTTCGGGGCGTATTATAGTATATACTTATGTAGGGGCCATGAGGGAATACGATTCGTAGGTCTTCCAGTCTCTGCATGAAGGCGGAAACCGAAGCTCTAAACCCTTTCTCACCATGCCTCGTTCTGTTGGTTAAACCCTCAACCCTAAACCCTCAACCCTGAACTCTGAACCCTGAACCCTAAGGTAAGAATCCAGGCCCCGAACCCAATTCAACCTCATCAGGATATTGGTGCTTCGGCGTTTGTTGGCTTATAGGGTTTTAGGGTTTTTTTGGCACTTTGGGCATTTTTGATTTATAGTAAGGTTTTTGCTCTAGCAAACCGTAAACCCTTTACCCTATGGAGTTAAGGGTATCAGGGTTTAGGGCTCCAGGGTTTTGGGGCTTTCGGGAAGGCGTAACTCCTTATAAGCCCTATGACCTTAACCCTCGATCCCTTAACCTTCAAGCGCTTGTCCTTACACCCTACACCCCAAAACCCCAAACCCCCAAAGGGCCCCCACTTCTGACTATTAAGTACTCAGTATCTGAGTCCAGGCACTTGCAAGGTCTTTTATCGACCACATTCCCAAACAGCTTTAAATCCCTTAAGGGGTCTTAGGTTCTTTTGGTTGGGCAGCTAAACGCAAACGGCAAGGAAGATTGGGGTTTCGGGTGTACCTTGGGGACTACATGAACCCTGAAAGGGTTTGTGGTCCATAGACCTTAATAGGGATTATAGTAATTAGTATACTTGGAGGTTCATGGTACTTACTAACCAATTATAACTGTACTTCTAACCCTACTTATAATACCCCTAAAGGGCCTTATAGGGGTTATCCCATTTATAAGTAGGGTTATAAGCCCAGTTATAAGTGGTTATTAAGTCCCATGAACCTTCAAGTAGGGTAGGTGACTCCAAGCTTAGGGTTCATTTGGTCCTCGAGGTACAAGCGCGCCTCGTCGTAACGTCTCACTAGCATGTTCGGACCAGTGTGACAGCGTCAACCTGCCCAAACCTGACAGGTTTAGGGTCTTCCCCTAAACCCTAAACCCTAAACCCTAAACCCTAAACCCTAAACCCTATACCCTAAACCCTAAACCCTAAACCCTAAACCCTGTTAGGGTTGTTTTTCGGGATGTGCCTCGACTTTGGAGATTGGGTATGCTCTCTGACCCCTCTTCTTTCGGGGGGGGATAGAGGGTACCTGGCTCCGAATAGTTCCTTGTATGAGCTCGCCTACTAGTCTGGAAATTAGGTACCCCTTAAACCCTGTTTAGTACCTAACTCCATAATCTAGGACCGGGAGTAGGCCCTTTTTTCCTTATTTTTACGGTTGGGGTTCCCTTATCATCCCCTTAAAACCAAAAAGGGCACCCTTCTTATTCCTAGCTTACTCCCGGGTCTAGTAATGGCACTTTAAGGGGGCCCTTTGAGTAGCAAGAGAAGCCGGCAACAACAAGTCTTACTCAGCTAGCAGGGGTTGTGCTTGCTCCAGCAGATTGTTTCATCCAGCCGTGGAGAACGTCCTGTCCAAGGTCCATAATCTCAAACCCTAAACCCTAAACCCTAAATACTAAGCCCTGAGCCATAAGCCTCCTAAGACCCAGACCCATTGGCTTAGGGTTCCGGGCCAGTTTTTCAGCTTCTTGTCACGGTCTGCATATCCTAACAAGCCAACTGGGCCATGCCGATGCTTCGGGAAGCTTGTCCTTGGACTATCTCTTTCTTCACATTCAAGGGTGTTTACGGCCGAGCAGCTTGACAGAATCTGACACATTTCCTGGTATGTACTTCGTGCGACTGACGTTGCTTGGCGTGTGGATGGGAATTGCGCATGCTGGCTCATGTGGTCCCAAGTGTAGTGAATTCGGCTGCTTTATGAAAACGGATGGCACATGCGAAGATCGACGGGCGAGAGTGCGCAGCCGCCAGTTGAACATCGAGGAGTGCTTGTTTGATCCAGATGTGGAATTTACCACTCGTTGGGGAACCATGAGATGCATCTGGAACTACTTCACTGAACCTCACTACCATTTATTGTATGCGATTGTGTTTGGTGCTCTGCTGGCATACGTCGTTCTCTTCCTCGTTTTTTGCGACATGTTTAGCGGATTCAGACTGTGGCGATTGCTTTGCAGACTCTTTTACAGATTGCGGATTCAGACTGCGGCGATTGCTTTGCAGACTCTTGCATAGATCGTACAAACGCACGTTGCTCAGCTGGCGCCTGGTTGCGTGACATTGGACCCATGTCGCTGCACAGCCACGGCAAAGCATTCGGCAGTGTGAAGGCTTAGGTTTCGGTTCCGGGAACAATTGCCCCAAAACCCTAAACCCCAAACCCCCAACTCCAAACACCACACCCCAAACCCCAAGCCCCAAGCCCCAAACCCCAACCCCCAAGCCCCAAACCCCAAGCCCCAAGCCCCAAACACCAAGCCCCAAACCCCAAACCCCAAGCCCCAAACCCCAAGCCTCAAACCCCAAACCCCACACCCCAAACCCCAAACCCTAAACCCTAAACCCTAAACCCTTTTGGAAAAATCCCTAAACCGCATGTGCAGCGCTATAAGCATGCTGGCGGCAGGTTGCACCGGCCATCCCCATCTACGAGGTGGCAACTTTCCGCACACGGCCACCCGAAGATACCCCGATTTGGGGTGTAGGGTTTAGGGTTTAGGGTTTAGGATTTAGGGTTTAGGGTTTAGGGTGCAGGGTTGAAGGGCTGGGGTTTTGGGTTTCAGGGTTTAGGGGGTTCAGAGTCTATAGTTAACAATACATAGGGCGATCTGGAACGCCAAGTCTAGGTTTCATAGGGTTTAGTTTCACCGCGCGGGGCAGATCTCCGGATTCGTCCCCCTAAACCCTAAACCCTAAACCCTAAACCCTAAACCCTGAACCCTGAACCCTGAACCCTGAACCCTGAACCCTGAACCCCAGTAGGTCCCAGCATCCCAGATGAAGCCGACGTGAGTTAGGCTTACGGGGTTTAATAGGGATTAAAGGGGTTTAGCCCTAAACCCTAAACCCTAAGCCCCTTGGAATAACACATAGGGTGTGAAGATGTTTAACGGTTTGGGATTTCTGAAAACATCCAATTCAGAAACCCTGTGGCCTGTGATGGAGTGTTCTGAATCTCTAAACCCTAAACCCCAAACCCAAACCATAAACCCTAAACCGACCGGGCAACAAGAACCCCCAAGCAAGCGCCAGACAGCTAAAAGAGGTCATTGGGGTTGTAAAAAAACCCCTAATTCCTAAACCCTATAAGCCCTAAACCCTATAAGCCCTAAACCCTAATCGTCAGTTTGAGGGGGCACCCTTCAGTCCTAAATGTTCTTCGCGCATAGCCATCACATGTTCTTGCTGGGCAGGTCTTGCAACGAGAGCCCTGCTGTCGTTCTTTGGCGTCATATGGGGTTTAGGGTTTAGGGTGTAGGGCTTAGGGTTTAGGGTCTATAGGGTTTAGGGTTTAGGGTGTCGTTCTGTGGGCGTCGGTTTCCGAACGTTGGGGGTTTAGGGTTTAGGGTTACGGGTTTAGGGTTCTGGGGGCGTGTACAATCAGGATTGGGGGGGGGGGGGGGGGGGGGACCCTACTGTAAGGTGTACGTACCCCTAGTTTAGGAAGCGCCCACATGATCGCAGGGTTTGCGGAGGCTGGTTTCAACGCCTAGCTCGGGAGTCTAGGCTTTCCTTTGCGGGTCGGGTCGAAGGGTTTTTAGGGTCTTGGGTCATGCCCAGAGCCCAAGAAGCTCCGAATGGTTTAGGGATTAGAGTTTAGGGTTTAGGGTTTAGGTTAAAGAGAGATGTTGCCCAGAGTACTCCTCCCTTCCATGCCTTCAGTGATAGGATACCTTCTAAACCCCGTTGGTCAAAAACAATTTCGGCTGCCGGCAACTAAGTCTTTGCTGCACTACGAATGTTGATGGCATGCAGTGCTGCCTTTTATGGTCAAGCTGGGGCTGCCTGGTGAAATCAGCAGCCTGCTCTGTACAGCAACAACTAGCCATGGCGCTTGGAAGCAAGGTGCTGAATGCTCTCTTCGTCGGTGGTGCAGTGCTCGTCGCTGTTTATGCTTGGGCCGTCTACGGTCTCCTCACCGAATGGCTCATCCCTTTGGGCGCCGTGGTGGCTCCAGAGATGGAGGAGATGTTCAGATCAGAGAAGGCCGCGATCTACATCCACGCGCTTTCATCTGCCGTCTCCCTCACAATCGGCCCCTTCCAGGTCATCCCGTCATTCCGGCAGAAGCACATGTTCGGGCACCGCATGGCCGGGCGCATCTACTTCCTTTGCTGCTTCATGGGCTCCATCACAGGCATCATCTTGGCCTTCAAAGCGCAAGGCGGCGCTGTCGGCAAGGCCGGCTTCGCTTGCTTGGGCGTGGCATGGCTCATCAGCAATTTGGTCGGCTTTGCAGCAATTGCCTTCCCTGCCATTCGTTCTGTTCCAGTGCATGAACGAGCAATGCAGATCAGCTGCGCCCTCACCTACTCAGCCGTCACGCTGCGCCTCTACCTGCCCGCGGCGGTTCTCAACCCCGAACATTTCCAGGAACTTTATGCTGGCATTTCGTGGTTGTGTTGGATTCCGAACCTTGTTGTCGTCGAGATCATCCGCTGCTGTTTGAAGAGGCAGCAGGAGCCGTCCTTGCACAAGGAAGCACCTGAAGCCAAGGAAGGCTTGTAGTGGGCCTATTTTCGCATCTTCTCGTGGTAGGCCCTTGGGATATGTCGTACTTTCCCTTGTTGGGTTTAGAGGATCATATTAACCCTAAACCCTAAACCCTAAAACCCTAAACCCTAAACCCTAAAGGTTTTAAAAGCCATCCTAGTTCGAGTTTTGTCAACGAAAGTCGAGCTATGGGAGGGAAGTCCGTCGAGCAGACACCCTGGTTCGATTGCTGGATTCACGTGGAAGGTTCGCAGAGTCCCTGCAGCAATTTGAAGGGATGCCTCGCAGTTGACCCAGGCTTGGGGTTTGGGGTTTAGGGTTTCGGGTTTAGGGTTTAGGGTTTAGGGTTCACACCAAGTACCACCGACAGCCTGTCTTCCTGCTGGCGTCTCCTTCCTGCCGGGATTCGGCATATCCAGCGTGCCAGCAGATCTGGGGGTCCAAGCTCTAAACCCTAAACCTAACCAGATTTTCTTGCTAGACATTTCCGACGTCTCTCTGGGAATCCCCCCCATCTGTTGCGGACCGTGGCGAGCGCGCTGAGCAAACGTGCGGCGCGAAAGTTAGATGCCTGCTTCGGTTCAGGTTACAGGATGGGTCATTTCCCTTAGGAACCCGAAACCTTCTCTTGCTTTGTAGGTTTAGGGTTTAGGGTTTAGGGTTTAGGGTTTAGGGTTTAGGGTTTTTTGGTTTAGGGTTTAGGGTCGAGGGTTTAGGGTTTAAGGTCGCACCTGCTTTAGTGTGGGCCCCCCCCCCCCCCCCCCCGAACAGTCGAGGCTGGATTTGTCCCTGTTTAGACGCTCCCGGGGGTTTATATGATTTTTATAGGGAGGAGTTTAGATAAGCTTAACAGTGGCAGCGATGCCCGGCAATCTTTTTTAAAGGCGCGCCATTTCTTACGGCGCCCGGACAATTTGTCCTGAAAGAGGGACTCCCAGACAGCCAGGGTGTCCTGAATAACTCAGCCAAAATGTCTTTAAAGCAGCGGCCAATACTAAACCAGGTGGTTTAGTGTTTAGGGTTTAGGATTTTGGGTTTAGGGGGCTGCCTGACAACCTCATAAGGGGTTTTCTAATTGGAGCCCACCAAAAAAGTAGGCATGGGGCTCTTCAGGTAGGCCTTACTCGGAGGTTGATGCTACTTAGTAACCCATTATGACTGTACTTATAACCCACTTACAAGCCCCTTAAGTGCCCTAATATGGTGATAAGTACAGGGATAATTGCTTAATAAGTACCATGAACCTCCAAGTAAAGTCCCATCATCAAACCTATGAAGGCCCTTTTTAAGGGTTTCGAGGGATCCTGGTTATCGCGACTTATTCAGCTAATGTCATCGAGGACTGGCCAAGAGCCCAAGCTAATGGTACAAGCAGGGTTTACTTGGACCCAGAGTAGGCCCGTATTCTTAGGGTTTAGGTTCCCCCTAATCCCCTGTTCGCATGTTCTCCCTAAGCCATCAACCTTAACCCTCAACCCTAAACCCTAAACCATAAACCCTAAGCTGAGGAGAGCCATCGACTTTCCAGGCGCAGCGGGAGTATTACAAGTGCCTGGGCTTAAACTCCTAAAGGATCAAGGAATCCTATTCTTCAGGGTTTAGGATTTAGGGTTTAGGTTTAGGGCTTTTAGGGTTCAGGCTTTAGGGGTTAGGGTTTAGGGCTGGAACATGTTTTTTTAATTATTCATTGCCCTGAACCGCTATAATGTAATCCTTAGAAAGCCATGTAGAAATTTAGGGTTGGAACATGTTCTTTAAGCTTTGCATTACCCTGAATCGCTATTCGACTCCTTAGAAAGCCAGAAAGAACTCAATTTTTATAGGGCCCCCAAACCTGCCCCAGCTAAAGCTTCAGAACTGTTTTATCTCCAAGGACCTATTCTTTAGGGTTAGGGTTTAGGGTTTGGGGTTCAGGGTCCAGGGTTTAGATTTTAGGTTTTAGGTTTCAGGGTTTAGGCAATCTGTCCCTGAGCACGGACATGTAATCCCGAAACCCTGAACCCCTAAACTTCAGGCTAACTCCTTCTCAGATGGGTATCTTTCTCAATTACGACCCCTCTTTTTGGTTCCCCCACATCTTATGGCACCCTTAAACCCTAAACCCTGAACCCTAAACCCTAAACCCTAAACCCTAAACCCCCAAAGGCACCCTCCCAAAAAGGACCCTAATTTTCACGCTACGCGGCCCGGCTTGGCCGGGGCCTGCGCAGCTGCGAGGTTTTTTTAGGGTTTATTCATGCGCACGCCTGACGCCCGGGGGGGGGGAGGGGGACAAATCTCGTCCAAGTACACATGGCGAAAGTGTGCCTGAAGCTTGAGCCCTGAAACCGTGGAGGCAACGAGGGGACGTGGAACGCATGCAGGATAGCGCCAGCAAGAAGAGGAAGTAGTTGGAAGGGACCCAGGCGACAAAGAAATCAAGGAAAACATGAAGAGGAACGCGGGTGGGGTTGGCGACGGGGGGTGGGGGGGGTGGTGGGGAGATGGGGTCGAGGGGGTTGGGGCGGGGAGGTGCCTGCTTTGTGCTACGCATACAGCTAGGCCCAAGGCCTCGGCGGATTAAGAGAACCCCCCCCCCCCCCCCAAAAGAAACAAAACAGGCGACTTATTCACGGGAATAGGGTTAAGGATTTCGGGTTTGGGGTGGGGTAGGTTGGGTTTAGAGATTTGGGTTTGGACGTTACGGTTTGGGGTTCAGTTGACCTTCGGAATAGTTTCTCAGAATATTCTCTTATGGTCCCTATAGAAATATACTATGATAACCCCCAAAACCCTGTTCTACTCGTTCAGGCCCAAAAACCCTAAACCCTAAACCCCAAACCCCAAACCCCAAACCCCAAACCCCAAACCCCAAACCCTAAACCCTCTATATTCGCCGCATTCCAGGCTCAAAGGTGACACTGCGCGGATGTACATCAGGGAAGTTCTGCCCTTCGTGGAGAATCGAAGCTGGGTCGGCAAGGAGTCGAAGCACGGGCTTCGTTAAGGGATGTTAAGGGATGTTAAGGGATGTTAAGGGATGTTAAGGGATGTTAAGGGTTTAGGGTTTAGGGTTTAGGGTTTAGGGTTTAGGGTTTAGGGCCGTTTAGGGTTTAGGGTTTAGGGGAATCCAAAGCCGGACAAACATCCCTGAATCCCAGATTCCCCAAGTCTCTCCTTGATGCGCTGAGCTTCTGAGCACTTTTTCGGGCTTGGGGAGTTTAGGGTTTAGGGTTTAGGGTTTAGGGTTCAGGGTTTAGGGTTTAGGGTTTAGGGTTTAGGGGTTAGGGTCCGGGTTTCGGGCTTGGGGAGGTGTGCTCTTGCGGGTTTCGGTCTCCGGGTGCGCCTAGACGTGGAATCCAAAACTGCAGAAGCGAAGTGTTTAATCAGCCCCCCTCTGCGCTTAGGAACTTAGCCCCAAACCCTAAACCCTAAACCCTAAACCCTAAACCCCAAACCCTAAACCCTAAACCCTGAACCCTGAACCCTGAACCCTGACCCCTGACCCCTGAACCCTAATCCACTCGGCAGAGGAGCTGTTTGTTGCCTTGGTTTTAGGGGGGAAGAAGCTCAGGGCTGCGCAAGGATGACCTAAGGCAGTTTGCCTTGCCCAGTGATACCCTTTTTGTTTAGGGTTTAGGGTGTAGGGTTTAGGGTGTAGAGTTCAGGGTGTAGGGTTCAGGGTTTAGGGTTTTTTGGTTCGAGGTCGTTCCCTTTCAAAGGGGCCAGCCCCAAAAAGTGTGCCCTTATGGGAAGATGGTTACGAGGGGCTACGAGGCGACCAAGTTGCGGACAGCAAGAATGGGAGCCCGGATAGTGAAAAAATTCTGTTCCCTCACGGCTCACTTGCGGGTTCTCTAGCTTCTGGTCCTGTCCGGGCGCCCGAAACCCCAAATTCTAAACCCTAAGCCCTGAACCCAGCCCCAAACCCTAAACCCTAAACCCCAAACCCTAAACCCTAAACCCCAAACCCTAAACCCTAAGCCCGGAACCCCAAACAAAGACCGAAACCCTAAGCCGACCCTTCGGAGAAGCGGCCCCCTGCTGAGACCCAGAGACTCGTCCCCCAAGTACCTGCCCCAAACCTGAGGCCCTAACCCAAAACCCCTGCTGCAGGGTTGAGGGTTTAGGGTTTAGGGTTTAGGGTTTAGGGTTTAGGGCTCAGGGTTTAGGGTTTAGGGGTTTTTGGGGTTTGGGAGCTAGCAAGCCCTGAAAGTTGTGATTCCCTGGGCCCTCACACCCCAACCCTGAGCTGCCTGAAGTGTAATTTCGTAAATGCTCTTGAGATATCCGCAACCCTAACTTTGCTTGGCCAATCGTTGAGCAAACTTCTCTGGGCCTGTCCTCGTTTCGAAAGAACATGGCAACGCTCAAACATGTTTAATCCCTGGCTGCCGGAGACGAAAGTTGCCTGAAACCCTAACCCTGAACCCTGAACCCTGAACCCTGAACCCTGAACCCTAAACCCTAATCCCTAACCCTAAACCCTAAACCCTAAACCCTAAACCCTAAACCCTAAACCCAGGAAGCCGGGGCATGAGCTCCGATGGGGGTGGCATGCTGCACGAGCTGGTCTGGTACCACAGGCCCTTTTTAGGGTTTAGGGTTTAGGGTTTAGGGTTTAGGGTTTAGGGTTTAGGGTTTAGGGTTTAGGGTTTAGGGTTTAGGGTTTAGGGTTTAGGGTTTAGGGTTTACTTATTCACCAACTATAGTGGTACTTATAGCTGTACTTATAACCATATTAGGGCACTCAAGGGGGTTTCAGTGGGTTGTCAGTACAGTTAGAAATGGTTAATAAGTGCCAAGAACCTCCAAGTACCAGCCACGTGGCTTATATCGTAGGACAATGGCTTCCGTGCGATTGTTGACCACAAAGCTATGTTTAATTTCTCCATTTTACAGGTCCAGAGGTAAGATGAGGGCCAATAGCTTTTGAACCTTGAAAACCTCTAGGAAAGCGCTAGCAGTGTGGCGAAGTCAGCAAAAGACTCGTTAAGCCAGACTATTCATTCTAATTACCTTTATTGCTTCTGTACTTGAGCAAATAAGGGAGGAAAAAACATCTTTCATAGTCTTGTTCTTGCAAGGGTTCTTGCAAGGGCTTTCTTTCCCCCCCCCCCCCCCGCCTGCAGGGTGAGGACTTGTCAGAATACATGTACCAGGCGTTTTGTTTTTCACTTTTCGCGCTAAACTCAGGAGCCTTAAGCCCTCTAGAGCCCTTTACGCCCACAAGCCGGACCCTAAATCCAGCATCCCAAGCCCTAAGCCCTCTCAACCCTCAAGCCTAAACCTCTCAACCCTAAACCCTAAACCCTAAACCCCAAACCCTAAACCCCAAACCCTAAACCCCAAACCCTAAACCCTAAACCCCTTTGATGCCCTAAATCCCCCCTCTGAGGCGCCCAGGATCAGGCGCAGCCTTTGACCAGGTCCATGCCTGCCAGGCCCATTTCTTACTCCCCTGCGGTTTTGGGGTCTAGGGGTTTAGGGGTTCAGGGTTTAGGGTTTAGGGTTTAGGGTTTAGGGTTTAGGGTTTAGGGTTTAGGGTTTAGGGTTTAGGGTTTAGGGTTTAGGGTTTAGGCCCATTTCTTACTCCCCTGCAGTTTCGGGTCTCGGTGTTTTTGGGGGTTGGGTTTAGGGCAGTTTAGGGGTTTAGGGCGTAGCTTTAGGGGTTTGGGGGTTGAGGGGTTTAGGGGTTTAGGGACTACGGTTTCAAGGTGAAGTAGGGATCACTCAGGCTTGTAGGGTTTAGGGTTGAGGGTTTAGGGTTTAGGAGAGGTTTGAGTTTCGGGTTGAGGGGTTTTCCAGGATTTGTGGTATACAGATTGCAGGTTTTTTGGCTTCAGGGAATAGGGAATTATGACTGCACTTATAAGCCATTATAAGCCCCCCAGTTCCGCTAAGTAGGTTACTCATGAACCTCCAAGTGGGGCGTTCGCCGTCGGTGCGGACCTACGTACTCCGTCCGGAACCTGCCCCTCAACCCTTGCTCCGTGCTTGTCCCAGCACACTCAGACGGACGTGTTTGGGCCGGCCTTGAAATCTTTAGATCCTTAGCCTTTTTGGGTTTCTTGGGTTTTTTAATAAGGCAGCTGAAAATTAAATTATAGCTACCCTGCAAAAGTGCAGCCGAAGAATGAGAAGTCTCCCAGAAAAGCAGCGTCTCGTGCCTGAACTCCTCGGCGATGCAAGTCCAGCCTCGCTCCGCTGTAGGTCCACTGCATCCACAGAAAGAGACAAACCTCGAAAGCCTTTCCCACAAAAGAGGGTGTAGGGTTTCAGGGTTTAGGGTTTCAGGGCCTCCGTCAGGCGAAGAATTGGCTCCGTCCTCTGGCGATGACGCTGACCTGCATGCATGTGAGGGCTCGTGTGAAACTGATGTTGTCCGTTCTGGGTTACCCAGCACATCCTTTGCAATTGTTGAAAGAACCCGCGGCAAATTCTTCCCAGAGTTTGTGGTGCAGTGGCTCCAGAAGTTAAAGCTCTAAACCCTAAACCTAAGACCTCAAGCCCTAAACTCTGAACCCTAAAGCCCGCAACCCAAACGCCCGCAACCTTGGCCTTGTCCGGTGAACTTGACACTTTTGGGGTTTAGGGTTTAGGGCAACCCTGCTACACTGAAAGGTTAAGCTTCTTTTATTGGGCCAGGGTACTGAACCTTCAAACGTGAACCCCTACAAAAGCAGGGTTTAGGTCGGGTTTAGAGCCCTCCTGAAAGGCTAAACCCCAAACCCCCAAGCCCCCAAACCCTCCAAGGGTGGGGGAGCCACTGGCGGCGCTCGATATGGGGCTGCTGGAGGAGTTCGGGCTTTGCGAGGGACCCGTGGCACGCAGGGCAAAGGTTCAGTTAGGGTTATGTTGGTTTCGGGTTTAGGGTTTAGGGTTTAAACCCTAAACTCTACACCCTAAACCCCCGGTGTCAGTTTATAAGGGCTTGGGGTCTAGGAGCCCCTGGCAAGGCACTTGTGCAGCAGCAGTGCAAACCCGACATGCTTCTCTAAACACCCTCAAGCCTTAAGCCCGTAGACATCAGGGTTTAGGGTTTAGGGTGAATACAACCCTAAACTCCAAACCCTGAACCGCACGCGGCAAAGGCTACTGGCCATTATCTTCTCATTGCTTAGGAGCTGGGCAGGTTTCTGCAACCCCCCTCGACCCCCCAGATAGCCAAAAAGGCGAAGCTTTCTTCGCGGATAAGATCTTAACTGCCCAGGTCGCAATACCCAAGCCTAGTTTGTCGGTCTCAGGGCTCAGGGGGGGTCTTGAGGCCCCCCCCCCACGCCCCCCCCCACCCCCCTCCCCACCCCCCCCCCTCCAATTCAGGGCTTTTGAACTTTAAAAACCCCAGTCTCCAGTCTAGGCCTCAGGGCTTAGGGGTCTTGAGGTTTAGGGCTGAAGGTTGTGGAAATCCAAGCTGGCCCCCCCAAATACTGTAGATTCGCGTGTCGAAGGGGGCCCCAATAAGGGCAGCCGAATATTCGGAAACCCCCTGTAAAAGGTCTGTTGGAGTTTTTTGTCGGGGGGTGCCCCTATTCTCTTTCGCCCCTGCGTTCCTACGCATCCCCAATCTTTTTTTCTCGGGCCTCTTCGAAGCATCCTTCCGAGTATCCCTTAGCCGCTTTACTAGGACACAGGGTAGGCCCTTATTCCCTTTTCTTAGGGTTTAGGTTACCTTATAAGCCCCTTGAGGGCAAAAGGGGCGCCATTGTTTTGTTCCTGGCTAACTCTGGGTCTAGCCTTATAAACCCTAAACCCTACAGCCTGCATCATCATAGCCAATATATACCCCTTGCCCCGAAATGGAGAACTACCCCCCCCCCCCCCGGGTTTCGCAAGCTTCCCACAAGGAAAGATGTCGCGGCAAGGCCTGGCAGAGGCAAGGAGGTTTCAGGAGGTTTCAGGAGGACGCAGGGCCTAAACCTTAAACCCTAAACCCTATAAGCCCTAAACTCTGAACCCTGAACCCTAAGCCCCAAGCCCTGAACCCTGAACCCTACCAACACCCCAAGACAACGACCCTAAACCCTAGGGCGCCAAAGCCGATCAAGCTTCTCAGCTCGTGCCCCCTGCAACGACCTTAACCGCCCTGAACTCTGGAACTCTCAACCCTCAGCTCCCCAAATTCTAAACCTACGTCCTAGTAGGCCCTAAACCCTGAAAACCCTGTAAGCCCCAAAGGCCCATGCCTCCTTAAAACCCAACTAATTAGACTAAAACAACTGACTAAACCGCACCAAGACCCTAATACTAAAGCCTTAGCTCAATCCCTACACTCCCAACTACACCCTACAGGAATCCCTAAATCCTAAACCCTGAACCCTAAACCCTAAACCCTAAACCCCTGCGCGAGGCCACCGTGTGGTATCGCAGGGCTCTCAAGCACGACCGTGCGGGTATGACCCTGGGCCGATGGGGTATGGAGGCAGCAAGCCCTAAGGTTTAGGGTTTAGGGTTTAGGGCAAACCCTAAGGTTTAGGGTTTAGGGTTTAGGGTTTGGGGTTTAGGGTTTGGGGTTTAGGGTTTAGAGTTTAGGGTTTAATCCGAGCATCTGTTTAATTGGCCCCCCCCCCCACCGCAATAAGAAAGGCCGGGTTCCGCAATAGTAAGACCGTGGCCCTGTATTGATTCTCTATTAAAGACAATGGGCCGCAGATCCCTGAGGTGCTGTAGCTTCGCAGCTCAGCAAGCAAAACAAGAAGCCTGCCGACAGATTTTGGAACCTCCCCAAAAAATTTTCTTTAAATGTGGTGGTATTGGCCCGTACGAATCCACCGTAATGGAAAGTAGTCTTCCGGCGGGCTTCTCGGCGAAAGAAACCTCTTTAAATGTGGGGGTATTAATTAAATAGATGCTCGGATTAGGGTTTAGGGTTTCGGGTTTAGGGTTTAGGGTTTATAGGGTTTAGGGTTTAGGGAACCCTAAAACGTGTGGGCTCATGGGCGTTTCTGGTTTTTAGGAGTGGTTCACTCTGCTTTTGGTTAGGGTTCAGTTCGAATTTTTTGGGTTTACGAGCCTTTGCGGAGGGTTTATGGTTTCAGGGGCTTTTGCTTTTTTTTAGGTTTTTTTGGGGTTTTGGGGTTTTTGGGGCTTTTTAAAGACTTAAAAGGGCATTTCTTGGGGTGTTTGAGGCACTTAAAAGGGCATTTCCTTGGGGGTTTGAGGCTTTTTACTTCCCCGGTCTGCAGCCGCAGGCACACCAACTCCTCGACATCGCAACGAAGGCGCTACGAGAAGAGCAGAGGGCCAAATAGAAAAGTTAGGGTTGAGGGTTTAGGGTTGAGGGTTGAGGGTTTAGGGTTTAGGGTTTAGGGTTTAGGGTTTAGGGTTTAGGGTTTAACTATGGTTTAGGTTTTAATTATGGTTTAGGGTTTAGGGTTTAATTATGGTTCAGGGTTTAGGGTTTAACTATGGTTTAGGGTTTAGGGTGCAGGGTTTGCTGTAGGAGAGCAAGCCCTCTACACCCGGCGAACCTTGGGCCCTTGGAAAGCCCCAAACAGAGAACCGCAGGAACCACAGACCTGCCAGAAAGGCTGGCTTTCAGCACTCTTTAACGGAGTCTATGGGGCCCTCATTCCCTCATTCCCTACTAAGAACACTCTGTTTAAGGGGAGGAAGTGGCCTAATTCCCTCATTCCCGATTAAGAACTAGGGAGTAGGTTTGGGGTGCGCCGATGCCAAATTGTCGAATCTCTCCTCCCCAGCCTCCCCCCAAAACCCCAAGTTTCCATCCCCGAAACCCAACCCCCCATATTTTCGAAGCCCAAACCCTAAACCCCTAACAACCCTGCACCCTAAACCCCCTAAAACCCTATACTGTAGAAGCCTAAACCCTAAACCCCTGAGCCCTAAACCCTAAAACCGTAAAACCCTACAAAGCAACTCATGCAGCCACCACGGCTCAAGAGGAGATCGATCTCCTAAAACTCGTAGGCTGGGCCGCCCAAGATAAACCAGGGAATCTTTCCGTTGAGCCATGCCGCCAAAGGGAAAGGCAAAGAAGGAGCGAGCCGGTCACCCTTATTCCGTTTCCTTTAGGGTTTAGGTTCCAGCCCCTTTAGGCAAAAAAAGATGTTTCCTTCTTCCTAGGTTGATCTCGGGTCTAGCTTGAACTTTAGGGCACGGCCTCAAACCGGGATGGGAGGACGTTCGGTTTGGGAGTTAGGCACAGAAGTTTCATACCCCATATTCACAGCAGGGCGCCCAATCCAGCGCACTATTTTGATGTCGCTCCAAGTGCAGTCTAGGGGTTAGGTGATGGGTTAGGGGTTTCGATTCTGTACCAAAAACACCCAGATGTAGTTCCATATTTTAGCTAGGTTGCTTCAGCATTATGTCTACTATCTCATACTAATCGTAAAGACGCGGTACCCGAAGAACAACTACCATTGGAGGCCTGTGTCAGGGGTGGCTTGCTTGTATAAGCTCTAAACCCTATAAGACCTAAACCCTAAACCCTAAAAACCCTATCACCCTAAACCCTAAACCCTAAACCCTAAACCCTAAACCCTAAACCCTAAACCCTAAACCCTAAACCCTAAACCCTAAACCCTAAACCCTAAACCCTAAACCCTAAACCCTAAACCCTAAACCCTAAACCCTAAACCCTAAACCCTAAACCCTAAACCCTAAACCCTAAACCCTAAACCCTAAACCCTACACGACGTAAGCCCTAAACCAAAATAGCATTCAGGAGGAGAAGGAGCTCGAGGAGAAGGATGAGCCCGAGATCGCTGACGGCGACGACGACAGCGATGATGAGTCGGATGAGGAGGGTTTAGGGTTTAGGGTTTAGGGTTTAGGGTTTAGGGTTTAGGGTTTAGGGTTTAGGGTTTAGGGTTTAGGGTTGGGAGCTTCTTCGGCGTTTTAGCATTTCCGGTAGAAGGCATGGTGTACTGCATGCTGCGGATCATGAGTACCTTTACTCTAAACCCCTAAACCCTAAACCCTAAAACTGGCATCCTACATGAACCCTAAAATATCTGCCCTAAGGCCCGTATACATCAAGACGAGTTGCAGTAAGATGCGGTCCTTATAAAACCCAACCTTTTAATGCCGTACGTCATCCGCATCTTGTAGTTCGCAAAGTACTTTCGGGGTACTAGGACCCACAGTGCTTGTTCCCTTTGTATAGGGCTTAGGTTCCCTTACCCCAAAATGAAACCCCAAAAAACAAGAAGGGTACCCTTTTTATTCCTAGGTTACTCGTGGGTCTAGTTGAAGACACTTGTCTCGCTTCAGCTTGTGTGTGTGGTAGGCTTGGATCTGGCTTTGGGGAGTTCGGGTTTAGGGTTAGGGTTTAGGATTTAGGGCTTAGGGCGTAGGGCTTAGGGCTTAGGGTTTAGGGTTTAGGGTTCAGGGTTCAGGTTACAGGGTTTAGGGTTTAGGGTTTAGGTTTCAGTTGCCTGCGGCCTCGGGTGTCGCACTTGACTTAGGGTGGTGGGCTAGACCCGCCCGAGCGATGCCCTTCTTATTCCCTTCGCTGTTCAATCTGGGTTCTGGTGACTTTGGCATTTTGCATAAATGTCTGTAAACCCTGGATAGCAGTCTTATCAAGCCAAACAGGGTCCCCGGCCACCGGATTGCGCACGTGGGTGACAGTCGCCTGTGGGGGGGATGGCAAGTCCTACGTACCCCTAACCCTAAAACCTTCAGCCCCGAACCCCAAGCCCTAAACCCTATATGCACGCGCAGCTCCAGCTCGCAGAGAGGACATGCCTGCATTGGAAGGAGGCGCCAAGGACGAGAAGCACAAGCAGAACAGGCAGAGCGGCTTCGGGCGTTCGAGAGTTGGGAGAGGAAGGTCACTGCTTCACATATTTGTAGTGTTCAAGAGTCTTCTCGGACTAGCTGAAGGAGCGCTATACGTGAACGCAATAATATAATTACACTTGTAGTTCCCTCTCAACCCTTATCTCGGAATATTTATTTCAGACAGTTTTAAAAGGGGCCAACCTAGGAAAAAGTCTGGCAAGCTGAAAAAGGGTTTAGGGTTTAGGGTTTAGGTTTGTGGGGTGCAGGGTTCCGGAAGCACTCAGCACTAGCCAGGTCCGAGAAGAAGAGCCGCAAGGCAGTCGGACCCCCAGTCTGCATGAGACATCGCAGGGGGTTTAGGGTTCAGGGTTTAAAGAAACCCCGAGAGGGCACCATTCTAGGATTCCCAGTATGGGCCCTTAGTAAACCATTTGGATTCCTTGTTAGGGTTTAGGGTTTAGGGTTTAGGGTTTAGGGTTTAGGGTTTCATATCACACTTTAAGTAGCAACCCCTATAAACAAGGGTAACTTGGTCATAGTTGGGTATCACTTTACATGTTTCAGGGTACTTAACCCAATAAGGAATATTTTGCATGTTTAAGGGCACTTAAACCCAATAAGGAATAACAGTGTATTTTTTTCATACGATCCCAACCATGAACTAGGTAAGGAAACCCAAAACCCTAAACCCTAAACCCTAAACCCTAAACCCTAAACCCTAAACCCTAAACCCTAAACCTTAAACCCTAAACCCTAAACCCTAAACCCTAAACCCTAAACCCTAAACCCTAAACCCATACATACTAAGGGCCCATGGTTCCAGCCCTTGGTGTGCCCTTGCTGAATCCCTAAGCCCTTAGATCCCTGGCAGTGTCAACTGGAGGAAGATATTGAGGTTTAGGGTTTAGGGTTTAGGGTTTAGGGTTTAGGGTTTAGGGTTTAGGGTTTAGGGTTTAGGGTTTAGGGTTTAGGGTTTAGGGTTTAGAGATCACAGAGTTCCACGAAAGGGCCCAGAAGTTCGACCACGCAGTCGTTTGAGTGTCCGATCATACGGGTGCATGAAGAGGTAATGAGGACTCTTTGCTTCACCCAGTAGGGCACCCCCAAACCCTGTCAAAGCACGAAGCCCTTATGCATCCCATTGCCCAGAACCACTCGAAAGATCAAAACAAAACCCTAAACCCTCAAACCCTTATAGCCCCAAGACCTGAAACCCTAAACTCCCATATGCCCAAAGCCCAAGCCCAGCCCTCGAGACTCGAGACAAAGTTTGGGGGGTTTACGATAATAAGGGACCCCTATATAGAGCCACAAATTCTAGGATCCCGTTATCAACCCTCAACCCTAGGTCCTTGTAAACCCGAAACCCCAATAAGGTACCCCTAATATCGTAACCCCCCCCACTTCTTGAGGTCTCCAAGCTGGGCATGAAACCCATCCCAGGCCTCGTCGCTAGATTTTGGTTTTTTGCCTGTGGCTTAGGCTTTAGGGTGTAGGCCTTTTGTTTTATGCTTCAGGGTTTAGACTTTGGTTTCAGGGTTATATGGGGTTCTTTCGGGTTGAGAGTTTTTTGCTAGGGCTCTTTAGGGTTATTTAGGATGCTTTGGAGTTATACAGGCTTCTGGAGGGTAGGGTCGCATGTGGTTCCGTAGGGTTCTTGAGGGTTCTGTAGGATTCTAGGTTTATTTCGGTGCGTTTGATGCCAAAAGCGCTGCGCGGCCTCAGCCCCAAACCCGACGTTCTACGTCACGCCCAGTTGAGTTCTTCCCTTCTCACGAAACAATGAGGGACTCGGGCAGCTTGTACTTCGGCTGCAGCTGCCCCCACATCCCAACACCGTTTGAGGGTTTAGGGTTCAGGGTTTAGGGTTTAGGGTTTAGGGTTTAGGGTTTACCGGCTTCTGGGCACCAGGCCCGCAAGCGATCTGCGAAACCCTAAATCTACCAGGCTTGCACTTTGGCTAATGGGCTCTTGGAGTGCAGTTGAAGATATATACCGCTATTTGCTTAAGAACCACCCGACCCCCCCCCCAAAAAAAAAAAAACAAAACAAAATAATAATAATACATAAATAAAAGTAAAATAGATAAATAGAGAATTAGAACAATATTCTTCCGTGCTTATGATGATGATGATTTTTATAAGTATTAGTATTATGATTGTGATCATTTTTGGAGGGGATTTTAAGCAAATAGTATTGTTCAGGACGGAGCTTCCCAACACCGAAAGCCCTGAGCATCCCGTCTTCACTTGGGGTTTAGGGTTGAGGGTTGAGGGTTTAGGGTTTAGGGTTTAGGGTTTCGGCCCCCGCCTCCAGGAATCACTCGCGTGACTGTCAAGAAGAGCACCAGCCTTACGCGAGCACACAGCTGGCTGAACCTGGTTTGTGGTTGCGGGTTGGAGTGTTCCTCTTTATGCTAACCGTCCTTAGTAGGGATTCTAATTGGGGGTACTATATCCCCTGTTAAGGACTGTTAGTATAAGGGGGGACATCCCAAGTTGAGGGCGTTCTGCTGTGGGTCGAAGAGACCCCTGTAGGATTGCACCGAGATGCAGTACGGGTTTCCTTCCCTACCACGCAAGACGGCAGGTGTGTCAGACAGCATCGTCATAGGTGTCCTCTGTGATTGGGGGGCAAGTGGCAAGGATTTGGGGCTTAGGGCTTTCAGCATTTTCAGCAGTAGTATGAAAGGATATGTGACTCATGACTCAATCAAACTTGCCCAGGCAAGAACATCCTTTTCGTGATTGCGAACCCCGATGTGCACAAAGCGCAGTCCTCCGACACGTGCCCCTCTACGCGGAAGCACTTCAAATCCTGTGCTAAACCCCAGGCTATGCTCTGTGCATGCTGTTCAAGGAAGCCCTAAACTCCCTAAACCCTAAACCCAGAACTCCCCCTAGACCTGTAAGATTTTAAACCGGAATCCTCAGTGGCACCTCTTTCTCCAAGTACCCGAACACCCTACGCCCCCCAAACCTCTAAGACCCTAAGACCCTAAAACCATGCAACCTGAAAACCCTAAAAGCCTAAGACCCTAAACCGTTAAACCCCAACACCCCACCCACCCACCCGCCCGCCCACCCACCCACCCACCCACCCCACCCACCCACCCACCCACCCCCGAAACCGAAACTTGCCTGAACTTTGCTGCCTCTGAGTTTTGGGCGTCGGGGGAGTCTCACCCCCCCCCCCCGCCCTATGTAGCCCTTTACAACGGCTCAACCCTTCTACCCTAAATCCTGAACCTCCATCAGGGCATGTAAGGTGCCTGGTTCCTTATTTTCCCGGCTAAGAACTGCTAAGATGAAGGTTCCGGGGGGGGAGATCCCTATTTCTAGCCCCATTTGAAGGGCTGTAGCAGAGCAGGTTTAGGGTTTGGGGTTTGGGGCTTAGGGTTTAAGGTTTGGGGTTTAGGGTTTAGGGTTTGGGGTTTGGGGTTTAGGGTTTGGGGTTTAGGGCTTGGGAGTTCCCTGCTACGACCTGGCAAGAGACGCAGGTACATCGTCTTTGGGGAGGCCAAGGTGGAAGATCTCAGCGCGCAAGCGGGGCGCCGAGATGTTGAAGTCGGAGGGGGGGGGAGGGGTTTCGGGTTTGGGGTTTAGGGTTTAGGGTTTAGGGTTTAGGGTTTAGGGTTTAGGGTTTAGGGTTAGAGGGGAACAGGGAAGGGGGGGGGGGGAGTGATTGGCAAGGTGGCCCTCTGTCAACCCTGTAACCTCATTGTTTACGGTACTAGTAACCGAATAGTGCTACCAGCGAGCCCAAAAAATCTATGATTGACGCATTTGAAGGGAAACCGTAAGTTCAAACACCTCCCGGATAGCTTCGGACAGGGTCTGCATTGCTGTTCCCGGACTCAGGGTACTGGATTTAGGGTTTAGGGTTTAGGGCTTGAGAGATGGTCTTTCCTGCTGCCGGCGTCTTTGCTCAAGCAACCGAGGAGTAGCCGACACTCCCTCAACACCACGACACTCTAAGCCTGTTGTTTGCTTAGTAGCTGAGTGAGCACAAATTACACTTTTCGGGATACTATAATTTCTACAAAACCAAAAGTGAACCACTTTTGGGGGGCTTATGAACTCAGCAACTAAGCTTGCCCTTCCCCCGACTCTCAGGCCAAGCGTGCCCCTTATCCTGGAGTTGTCACGTTCATGCCCTGCACTCCTACAAGCCCACTCACGCGAGGTGCTAGACCCGAACCTGTGGCTGATCCCTCGTATACCGCACACCCTTGACCTTACACTTCTGACCCAAGTACAGCTCCCAAAATACACCTGACAGCCTTTAACTCTAAACCAAAGAACCCAAAATCCTACCGGTAAGCCTGCTGGCCCTCGGCCCCATTTTTGTCTCGTGGGCCTCCTGCCGCATCGCCGTGTGGCTCTTGGCAGCTTGCCGGTGGAAGGACCCCCAGATGGTGAAGACCCCAAACCTTAAACCCTTCTAGAGGGACCCCCAGATGGTGAAGACCCTAAACCCGAAACCCTCAACCCGAAACCCTAAACCCCAAACCCTTCTACAAGGACCCTCCCAGATGGTGAAGACCCTAAACCCTAAACCCTAAACCCTTCTACAAGGACCCCCAGATGGTGAAGAAGGGCAAGAAAACGCAGGGCCTGGTGCTGTCCAAGATGGGCGGAGCCGACTCGGCTCAGGCAGGGGCATGGAGGTGGAGCCCAGACCTCCTCTCAGGGCTTAGGGTTTAGGGTTTAGGGTTTAGGGTTTAGGGTTTAGGGTTTAGGGTTTAGGGTTTAGGGTTTATTTAGGGGTTAGGGTTGAGGCCCCTACACCCTGGTGGGGGGCTGAAATTCTTCCAGACAATGGTAGAGGCTCTTCCCGCTGTGCACCTCAGGCCCCAAAATCCAAGAAGCAGAAGCAGAAGCTGCGGAAGCGTCAGCTCAAGCAGAAGTCGTCCTCCAAGACAGGACGTCGCGGGTTTAGGGTTCAGGGTTTAGGGTTTGGGGTTTAGGGTTTAGGGTTTAGGGCTGTGCAAGTTCTGCAGGGGACGACTTGCAAGCAACGGGCCTGTCATAGCTATATCTTCAAAAGACAAGCATAAAGACTCTTTCTTCGGGTTATTTTAGTTCTACGCCAGGGTCCCGTTTTCGGTACCTTCTGCATCCCTAAGTAAGCAGGGACCTCACTTGGAGCAACACCCGTGTGCGTGTGAACGCTGCTCCTCTAGGACCGGGAGTAAGGCCCGTTTTTTCCTTTTTTTAGGGTTGGGGTTCCCTTATAATCCCCTTAAAAGCAACAAGGGTACCCTTTTTATTCGTAGGTTACTCCCGGGTCTAGTCCTTATCCCAGGAGGACGTTCGAAGCCAACGAAGCCGGTGACGTATGAGGCAAGTGAGTCCATGGCTGAGGGCTAAACCCTAAGCCCTAGACCCTAAACCCTGGGGTTCCAGTGCAAAGGTGTTGAAGGTTAAGTTTCCTTTTTGCTCTCGCACATCTGTCCGACAGCGAGCCGATACCCTTAGCCTTACCCGCCCCATGAACCCTAAACCCCCTATGGGTGTTCTCCACATGTGAGTTTACGACAATCAGGGACCCAAAATGGAGACCCCCACATGATGGGATTCCCTTGCTAAAAGGACCCCAATAGGGTACCCTAATTTCGGAAAGCCACATATTGGGGTTCTTTTGGGTCCCCTGTATAGTACGTCACCTTATGAACAGGACCCGCCACAGGCTGCAGGGACCCTACTTGGAGGTTCATGGTACTTACTAACCAATTATAACTGTACTTATAACCCTACTTATAATACCCCTAAAGGGCCTTATAGGGGTTATCCCAATTATAAGTAGGGTTATAAGCCCAGTTATAAGTGGTTATTAAGTCCCATGAACCTTCAGGTAGGTTCGAGAACTGCCCTCATACACCCACCCAAAGAACCCGCACGAATCCGATGACCCTGGAGGAGGACAGCGGATCGGAAGAGGCCTCGACCTTAGGGTTTAGGGTTTAGGGTTTCGGGTTTCGGGTTTCGGGTTTACGCATAGGATTCCGAAGGCGACTTCGCTAGGTAGGCCCGGAGGATACGCAACGCTTCTGCCCGGACCCTAAACCCTAAACCCTAGAACCAATCTTGAACTCCCAAAGTATCTGGGGGTTTGGGGCTGCGGTGGGATCGCAGAACCCGAAGTAGCAGCAGAGCATCGCAGCTCTTTGGAGTTTCAGGTTCAGCGTTCGAAGTCTACGGGCTTGCGGGTGAGGGTCAAAAACTTTTTAAGGTTTAGGGCTTATGGGCTTAGGGTGCAGAAGCCCCAAGAGGCTCTCACGAAGGGAGCTGGCCCCTCGCGCTTAGAGACCCGGTTCATGTGTCATAAGGCTCAGGGTTCGGTGGTTAGGGTTCAGGGTTTAGGGTTTAGGGTTTAGGGTTTAGGGTTTAGGGTTTAGGGTTTAGGGTTCAGGGTACACGCCAGGATGTCTTGGCTTCTAGGCTGGAGGGGTCCAAGGCTTGGGATTCACGATTTAGAGGTTGAAGCTTCGAAGTTTATCCTTGTTGGAAGGGTTTTGGAAAGAGGTCTTGCTTGGCATGTTTGTGCGTTGAGGCTTTCGGGTTTAGGGTTGAAGGGCATGAAGATGCCCCTTACCAGATCTCTTTGTCATAGTGGGGTAACATCTTAGATACTTAAACTCAATAAGCAAGAGAAATTTCGTTTTCATACTATCCCAACCATGAACTAGATTAGAAAGACATGAGAAGAGCATGGGTTGTCACAGGAAGTCTCCGAGGACGACGTGGACCCTGCCGAGAGTGAGGGCTACTTTCTCAGCCAATAGAACTTTGAACTTTTTTGGGTTGCCTTATTTTTTTAGAAATAGTAAAGATTACAACCAGCCCATAACTGTGTTTTTTGGGGTTTCCTTATTTAGTAGGAATAGTAAGTTTAACCTTTTTATTCCGGGGCTATTGGAGAAGTAAGGCTACATGTCACGTTTGACCGCCTTCCTGTCCCTCTGCTTTCACTGACACCCTTTTTGAACTTGTAGGGCCTGGTTCGTTTTCTTGACTAACCAACAGAAGAAAGCGTGTCAGCTCATTATACCGTGGTTGCGCCATCCAAAACCTTAAACCAATAAATACATACGCATAAGTTATAAGTGTATATAGACAATAAACCCTAAACCCTAAACCCTAAACCCTAAACCCAATTCTTCATTCTTTCTCAAGGCAGAAGAATGGGAAGAGCCACATCAGTGCCATCGGTCGGAATGTGGACAAGCCCACCAACCTGAGTATTGGCAAGTTCTTGGCCACGCATCTCGGCGCATTTAGGTTTTTCCAGTGTGCCCGCAACAGTCAGCGCTACGTTACGGCTTTCTTGGGGACTTTGGGTGTTCAGGTTTTCTACTATTTGCTTAAGAACCTCCAAAAACATAGTATTCTTCCTCAGAAGGGTAACAAAGGGAAGAGTATTATTGTTATTATTATTCTTCTTCTTTTTATTATTATTACTGTTCATATTACTATTATTTTATTCTTGTTATTATGATTAGTATTTTTTAATTCTTTGGGTTCTTTAGCAAACAGTAGTTTTGAGTTTAGGGTTTTTGGGGGGTTTGGGGGTTCCGAGCTGGCCTCGTTGTCATACCCTCACCTGGCCTGGAATCTAGGGTTTAGGGTTTAGGGTTTAGGGTTTAGGGTTTAGGGTTTAGGGTTTAGGGTTTAGGGTTTAGGGTCTGGATCCTGGACAATACCAAAACCGCGCCTCATACGGGCCGGTTGTCATAAATCCCACAGTTGTAGAAGCTTCAGAACCAAGGCACGCGGACATCTTCAAGATTGACAAGAGCAACGGTAGTGTTTCGCTGAAGTAGGCCGTAAATCGCCTCGTTGAAGATCTCGGATGATAGTAGATGTTTCTCAGCCCCAGCGCACCAAACTTATGCCCAAGAGCCTTTCCTGAGGGCTTTGTGCCTCATCTGCAGACAGCACTTGGAGGTTCAAGGTACTTATACCCCCAATTATAACTGCACCTGTAAGCCCCCTAAGTCCTCTAAGTAGGGTATATGTAGACGTCTGTAAATGGGGTTAGAAGTACCCATGAACCTCCAAGCAGCAAGCAGCAGTTCCCAGCCCAAAGTGGCTGATGAGTTCAGCAACGCGCCGGCGTCATGATGGGCAGCAGTCCTCAGACAGGCGTCACCGAGATGACGGTGGTGAAGCCGATGGAGAGTTCCTATAGCCCCCCCTTAGGATTTGATATGCTTCCCTTTACAGAACACAAGGGAATACTTAAACTAGTATACTCATTATGGTTCTATAAGGGGAGTCTAGGTTCGGTCAGCACCATCAGCTTTTGAAATGACCATGCGACTCCATCGCGCGCACTGGGCAGAGACGCGCAGGGACCAGTGGATGAACAAGACTGGCAGTCGGCTTTCCGGACAGTTTCCCGTAAGCAGCCCGTAAGCACAACTCCTCGACTCTACACCCCCTACACTAAACTCCTGTGATCCTAGACCCTAAAACCTAAACCCTAAAACCTAAACCCTAAACCCTAAACCCGAATCAAATCCCCCTGAAATCTACACCAGGAGGGCTTTGGCGGCTGGCCGCCTCTAAAAATCCTGACAAAAACGAGGCGACTTGGGTTCCAGGTTTAGGGTTTAAGGCTTCGGGTTTAGGGCTTAACCCCGAAAACCCCTCTGACCTACAGCCAGAAAGCTTATAGGGCCTGAGCCGACCCTGTACACCCCCAAACCCTTACACCCCAAATCCTTAGGGTTTAGGGTTTAGGGTTTAGGGTTTAGGGTTTAGGGTTTAGGGTTTAGGGTTTAGGGTTTAGGGTTTAGGGTTTAGGGTTTTAGGGTTTAGGGTTTAGGGTTTTAGGGTTTAGGGTTTAGGGCCGCCCATACCTCGCAAGACTCATCAGGCCCAGGCCAATGCCGCGCAGCAGTTCACGCAGGGGCCCAGCATAGGGGCCAAGGACAGCATGCTTTGGGGTCTAAGGGTAGTTTCACGGTCCCTCAATCTGATCCCATCCTCCTTTGAAAGTGTTCTGAAGTATGGGCCCTTGGGTTGTTTTGGGTATGTAAGGGGATCCCCTTTCTAAGGGCCCATGCTAAGGGACCGTGTTCCTGCCCTTAGATGGGGTTTAGCACTCCTAGCTGTGCACAGCGGGGTGGGGCCGTAGCGGGGCGGCAGCAGGTTGGGGTAGGGGCCTTGTGGTTTTAGGGTTTAGGGTTTAGGGTTTGGGGTTTAGGGTTTAGGGTTTAGGGTTTATTGAACAGCGCGGTGAGCGCGGTGTTTTGGGGGCTTGGAAAAGGCATTGTAAAGCCCATCAAGGTTCTCAGTTGTCCACACACAACGTTTATGTCTTTTTTGTCTTGAGGGGCTTGGCCTTTGGGGCACATAGGGTCCATAGGGTGTCACAGGGTTCATAGCGTTCATAGGGTTCATAGGGTTCATAGGGTTTATATATAGCGTTCCGCGACGAAGGACCCAAAAGCCTCGGCAGCCTCCCCCCCCCCCCCCCCACCCATCCAGGGTTTAGGGTTTAGGGTTTAGGGTTAAGGGTTAAGGGTTTAGGGTTTAGGGTTTAGGGTTTAGGGTTTAGGGTTTAGGGTGGTTTAGGGTGGTTTAGGGGTTTAGGGTTTCGGGTTTGGGGTTTAGTATACAAGTCACCAAACCTCGAAAGGGTACCCTTGTTGGAACAAAAAGGCCTGTTATGGGGCCCCACTTGTCTGCAGCTTTACTGTCTCGATGTTCTTCTGCAACGAAAATATGCTCGGCTACCAAGTTAAGGTCAAGAGCAGGAGCTTTTGCTTAAACTGTGCTGTGCCCAAACTTGTTCGGGCGCAAGCCATATACCCATGTTCTTTACTTTGAACCCCACTAAACCCTCAACTCATCTAAACTCTGACTTCTGTAGCCCTAAACCCTAAACCCTAAACCCTAAACCCTAAACCCTAAACCCTAGTCCCGATCCCCAAAGCTCCCAAACACATGAAGCACAGGAGATGGAGGCCGCCAGTCAGGGAGCTGTGATCGAGGCCCGGTGCCTCCCACCGCGCCGATCCTATTCTCGGGTTTAGGGTTTAGGGTTTAGGGTTTAGGGTTTAGGGTTTAGGGTTTAGGGTTCAGGGTTTAGGGTTTAGGGTTTAGGGTTTAGGGTTTAGGGTTTAGGTCCTTCCTCCCGATTTAGGTTCAGGAGTTCAAAGCTTGAGGAGGCTTTTGAGTGCCCAGATTTCAGGTGTAGGCTTCCGGGGTGGGTGCTTTCTGGGGAGAGCCTTGTAGGAGGCGGGCCAAAAGTGGGATCAGGACTGTCCCCTGGACCCTCGACCCTGAATCGTAAACCCTAAACCCCAAACCCTAAACCCCAAACCCTAAACCCCCCACTCTGAAGCAGGAAGTCGACGAGGGTGAAGTTGATGACTCCGGCGTTGAAGCCAAGGACGCAGCAGGGACCACCGGAGCCCAAAAACACAGGGATCCAAATGCACTTCGAGGGTTTCAATGAACCTAAAACCCAAAACCCTGAACCCTAAACACTCGCGGGTCATATAGCATTCACGGCGCGACTCCTCAGTGGATTTCGGGCTGCGCGATGTGGATTTCCTGTCATATGCTGTTGCTGTTCTCGTGCTTTGCGTGGCCGCTTGTTGAAACACATTATGCACATCACTTCTTCCCCCTAAAACCTAAACCCTACACCCTAACCCCTAAACCCTAAACCCTAAACCCCTCGCAACCCCGTGAGACTGGCAGGATGTCGACCTTGTGATGCAGCAGGCCGGGCTGTACTCGCAGCTTCTACTTGGAGGTTCAGGGTACTTACGACCCCAAGGGTTTTAGTAATTTCGGGTTTAGGGTAATTATAATTGTACTGTAAGCCCATTAAGTCCCCTAAGTAGAGGTTATTCGTAGACTTATACTTGGGGTTACAAGGAGCCCACTGAACATCGCTAAGCGCAACACACAAACTTTCCTTCATGCACCGGAACTTCCCATGCGGATGTTCTGCGACCCTAACCCTAAACCCTAAACACCCTAAACCCTAAGCCCTAAACCCCAAGTCGAGAAGGACTTAGGGTTGAAGGCTTCGGGTAGTGTCCGGAGCAGACTTTGCCGGGGTTCAGAGTTCTGGTGGCAATGAACCTCACTTCAGTTACTCCTTTTCGAAAGTACATGTTTTGTGTAAGAGGTTTCGGGTCTAGGGTTGAAGGTTTTGTGTAAGGGGCTTAGGGTTTAGGGTCTCTGCTACGAATTTGAAACTACCTAGGCGCTCTCGGGCTTCGACTACGAGCATGACCTAGGATATATGGGCTTCCGATGTAGCCTTGACTTAAAACCCAGGCAAGCCTGAACCCTCAAGCAACCCTAAACCCCAAACCCTGATCCCTAACCCCAAACCCCAAACCCCAAACCCTAAACCCCAAACCCTAAACCCTAAACCCTTAACCCTAAACCCTAAACCCAAAACCCTAAACCCCAGTCCCCCCATCAGGTCTCCTGCAGCCGCGCGAAGGCCGTGGCAGCGCTGAAGGCAAACAACAACGACATCGTGGAGGCACGTCAGGGTTCAGGGTTTAGGGTTCAGGGTTTGGGGTTTGGGGTACAGGGTTTAGAGGGGTTACGGTTTGTTGGGCTCAGGGTGTAGGGCTTTTGGGGTTCAGAGGGCTTCGGGATGAAGATTTCTTGCGTTTTGGGAGGGTTAGGGGTTTGTAGGGGTAAAGGCTTAGGTTAGGGGGGGGTTGCCGTCTTGTGTGAATCCTAAACCCTTAACCCTTAACCCGAAACCCAAACCCTAAACCCTAAACCCTAAACCCTAAACCCTAAACCCTAAACCCTAAAGCTTTTTGGTACGTCCAACCCCTGCTGCAGCAGCGACTTGAGGCCTTTTGGGCTGGCTGCGCTTTAGGGTCGTTCTCAGCCACTCAGCAAGGGTCCCTCCACCCCTGCACCCGGTTATCCATCAAGTCTCAGCAGCCCTGAACCCCCAAACCCCAAACCCCAAACCCCATACCCCTAACCCCTAAACCTCTAAACCTCTAAACCCCTAAACCCCTAAACCCCTAAACCCCTAAACCCCTAAACCCCTAAACCCCTAAACCCCTAAACCCCTAAACCCCAAACCCCAAAACCAACTCACACTTCCAAGCCGTACCCTTCTCCCCCCAACCTCTGCGAGGCGATCATGCAGCTCTCCTCCAGCTAGAGCCAGCCGCTCACCGGCAGCTTTAGCAGTTAAGCCCTGAATCCTACGACTTCTTTGTAGGAATGAGGCAATTTTATAGGTACCTTATATCCCCCCATAGATCCCCTCTGAAGGATGATATAGGGTACCTCATTCCCTCATTCTATACTGAGAACCAGTACTTGGAGGTTCATGGTACGTATTAACCACTTATGTCTGTACTTATAACCCACTTATAAGGCCCTCCGGGGGGCTGTAGTAGGGCCTCGATAGTTGCGAGTTGTGCGTCTTTTTTCGGGTGGTTGGGTTTAGTGCTTGGGGGTTTAGGGTCTAGAAGTCGAGTTTTTAGGGTTCAGGGGCTTGGCGTTTAGGGTTTAGGCAGTGCAGGGTGTGTGCTGTGTGATGAGGGTTTGGGTTCTGAGCTTGGGGGAGCCGTCTTTGCTATTCGACCGCGAGCCTGTAGCCGACACCTTATATACGCCCTACTCCCTCCACACTGACCCCTGACCCATGTGTGCAGGGTTTTCTTGTGTCTGGGGTTGATTATCGTATGGTTACTGAACATGCTTGAACCCTAAACCCTAAACCCGACTGGGCTGTGCAAGCCCGAGCCCGCACTACCTACCATTCTTGAGGGCTCCCTATGTTTAGGCGGCTACAACCCACAAACCGGTAAGAGGTTGGAGTGATCCAAGCAAGCAGCAGAGAAGGAGGGAAGGAGGGGGACGGTTAAACTCAAACATTCATGAATCGACCGACATGTCAGCAGTAGCATACGGGACGCACCCGAGACCATGCACCTGACTGAGGTCAGGCAAAGAAGCTCGCGAATCTACTTTGAATCGCTTGGAGCGCTAGAAGGCCTCCAATTTTGCGGAAGTTGCGCTGCAAAGTGCTATGAAAAACCATGCTGCGCGGAAATGCCAGGGATGGGCAGCAGCGGTTCGTGAGAAGGATTCAACATATTGGTATGCTATGTGCTCGCAAATGTCTCTGTTCCTTCCCTTCCCATCTCTGATTAGTATTTAGCTTCGTATTCGTTCATTCTCAATGATGATATCAAATAAATTTTGGGGCAGATGTGGCATGGGAGCTCTTTTTGGAATGCTTTTCATTGGATGAAATATTCCTCGGGCGACTCATGTCGTCATGGAACATTCGCGATGCTTTTTGGAATCAAGCGGGGGGGGGGGAGGGTTTGATTCATTTGATTCAGTTTGACTCAAGTTTCTTGGTAGCCCAGTGGTGCCCTTTCCCCTTTTTTTGGTACTTTATAAAGTAACCAACCCCAAAAAGGTGCCCTTATTGTAATAAGGTTACTGGGTTACTAAGGTTTTGAATCAAGCCGGGATCCAGGAATCAAGATTCAAGATGCCTGAGAAAAGTTATTTTGCGGGCAAAATTGAATCTTGGACAGCAAGTGCCCTGAGCCCTATAAACGCTAAACCCCATAATCGCTTCCCCCTAATACTAAACCTTAAACCATTATAAACCCTCAACCCTAAACCCTAAACCTAAACTCTAATTTTATTTTTTTTTTCCCGGACCCTCCCGGCACCCAGGGGAGGGGGGTGGGGTTGAGGGCCTCCGCCCTTGAGTTGAGCCATTAATTAGGGTTTCAGGGTTTAGGGCAGAAGGCGCAGAGGATTGGGGTTTAGGGCTCAAGGCTCAGAGGGTTGAATCAGAGGATTCGGGTTTAGGCTTCGGATTTCTGGTTTTAGTGCTTAGGCCCCCTGGAGCTTATGAACTCAGCAAGTAAGAGAAAATGAGCGGAGCTGCCTAAAGAACGTCCCAGAGAGCCCGATAAACACGAAGGTGCAATACCGAAACAAGGAATCTTAGGCTTAGTAGTAGAGTAGGTAACCTTAAACCTTTTGTTTGATATTCTAATCCCAATAAGCCCTAAACCCTAAACCCTAAACCCTAAGGTTAACCTTTAATTCCCCGAGGTTACTGGACAACCAAGTAGGCACTCTTGGGGTGTCAACAGCGCTGTGCGGTCCGTACCCCCAGCGCCTCAGGCGAGCCAGAGAGTCGGATTTAGGGTTTTGGGGCTTAGGGTTTAGGGTTTAGGGGTTAGGGGTTTAGGGTTCAGGGGCTTAGGGTTTAGGGGCTTAGGAACCCTCCGAGTCGGCCCCAACCAAGGCGCTGTAACAACAAGCGGAGCGGGGCCCGGGAGACTGGGCGAGGGGTAGACCCGGCGAGAGTAGCTGAGCTAAAAGTCTAACAGCGTCACACCAAAATCGGGGAATCAATCGGGAACCGCAGAAGGGAACGAAACAAGGACCCCAGAGGCTCTTCCCTCCGGGAGTGCCCTTGCGGTGCGTGCAGCCTGGCCTCCGCAGTCAACGAAAAACTGCATTGAATGGGGAAGCTATGCCACCGGTGTGTCAAGCCACGAACATTCGCCAGCCCGATGGTCGGCCGAATGCGCTGAGTTCCGATTACTTTGTGACCTGTGACGTGGGTTGTTCCGGTACGCAGTGGCCGCAGTCACCCCCAGCTGGGCAAGGGGCCACGGGCATTGGGCTGGCTGCGGAGATGCAAAGTGGTCGTGGGGGGTCTGGCAGCTGCCCGCGCCTCAGGCCAGACTCCCTCAACGAGCTGGAGGGCATGGATGGCCAAGATGGGCATAACGGTTCTGTCATCCTTCGCCGCTGCCAGCGTGCGGGCGCCTACACCCTGGCGTTGCAACGCTGCGAGGGCAGTGACGCTTGGACCATCCACGGCCTTTGGCCAAGAGGTGTGCGAGATTGTCAGGGCACCGACTTGGACATCTCCACCCTCTCCGCCTTGCATCCACAGCTTTTATCAAAATGGCCCTCCTGTAGGCAGTCAACGACTGCAGAGGCATTTTGGCGACACGAGTGGCAGAAGCACGGCACCTGCTTCGGTAGCGACCCCAACCACTACTTCGAGTTGACGATGCAGCTACTCAGCCAGCACTCTCACACCTGCTCTCGGTATACCTCACAGGAGTGCCGCCTCTGCCTCACAGACAGCTTTGAGCTGTGCGACTGAACCTCGTGAGGG